CCGACAACTCTCTTATATCCGGGTTACACTGTATTTATACTCTGTAAATTTACATTGAACACTGTTTTGTAAAAATAAAAATATCAGTAAGAACACCGGATTATATATCTTACTGTTCTTTTCTTTATATATATATATATATATATATATATATATATATATATATATATATATATATATAATTTTGTTCATATATACAAAAACAATTTACTCACTACAAAGATGCAACTTCGTTTCAGTGCATTTAAATTGCACTTCGACTGGTGAGAATCAAAATGGTTATGAAGAATTCTGCTTCTGAAACATTACTTCCGTTTTTTTCCCATTTGTTTGATAAAAAAAATACATAAAGGCAAAAAGGTGACAGAGTGAAACAATAATGGTTGTTGATAGCAGTTTGGTGAAGGATGGTTGACGTGTTAAATTAATGGCTAGACCTGAAAAAATTATTTCTGACAACAACGGTCAAGGATATAGGCACAGCATTTCCAAACATTCTAAGAGTGAGGGATGGGAGAGGGAAGGTGAGGATAGGAGATAGTAATATTTTTTTTTAATATTTTAAAAAATAAGTCAGAGCTGATTTGCATATATTTAGGTTGGAGTTATCACTATTAGTTTTGTAATCAATGAAAGTGTTTTCTAAATTATTGAATTAAGAATTGAAGATTTCTTCTTGGTATGTTGAATATAAAAGGTATTCGTTGTTTTTTTTTTTAATTTAGAAATTAAGACATAAGTAGGAAGGTATATAAAAATATGGGAAATGAATATAAATTTCATAGGCAAATTTTGACCTATTGTCAGACTCTATAACATGTACAATAAGTATGGGTGTTAAACAATTTATCGGAATGTATTACTAGTATTATATATGTGCAAAAAACAAAACAAAAAAGAATCATAATCTAAAATAAATTAGTCGAGGTGTATATGAGAAAGCAGAAATTATAGATGAGTTATAAATTTAAACATTTAGAGTTGTGGATTTAGCAGTTTAGCAAAGTTGTAATTTTTTGTCCGCATTACATTCGGATATATATATATATATATATATATATATATATATATATATATATATATATATATATATATATATATATATATATAGAGAGAGAGAGAGAGAAAGAGCAGTAGGATAGGAAATGCAGTGTTCTTATTGGTATTTTATTATATATATATATATATATATATATATATATATATATATATATATATATATGAAATGGACAAAGAATGTATAAACATAAATGTCTTAATCAATATATATATATATATATATATATATATATGTGTGTGTGTGTGTGTGTGTTAAAATATAGACAAACAGGCAGCCAGACACTATTGTGAGTCTAAACATTGGGGGGTTATAAAGGGAATTCAATTTAACTTGATTTATGGTACCCATGGCATTTTTCCTCACATGAGATTTTATCTTTCTTTCATTCTAACACAAAGAAAGAGAAAGTAGACGCTGTCGGCTGAACGAGTTGTTTGTAATTTTCCAATTTCTATATATATATATATATATATATATATATAAAAGTATCCGTAATGTTAATGTAATTAATGGCAAAATCTCTTCCCTAACAAAACTTAATTAGGCTAAATAAGACGAAATAAATCTAGTGAAGGCCGAGTTATACTTATAAAACCCAGGTTATTTGTGTGTGTGTGTGTTCGTTTATATATGGGATCGAATTTTTTTAAATTATATTATTTATTGACAGTTATGCAATTTTGGAACATGCGATGTTCTTGTTTAAATAATTCAAGTGAGAAGGTAAATCCAATCTAATATATATGTAAATCTACTCGACTGGAATTCGAACTCAGCTCTACGATTCCTCAATCAGAGATGCTATCCATTAACAAACAATCCAGCAGCCAACAATATATATATATATATATATTAAACGCCCAATTCTTGATAGCGACTGGTAGTAACAGTTGAAAGTGACAAACAGACAAACAGAGGTTTGGTTTCAATTTTTTTATATAGATAGCTTCGACAATTTACAGTTTGTATCTTTTCGTGGAAAAGTATGGATGTATTTTCGACGAGGATTTTTCTGAAAGTGGAGAAATTATTTAACGATACCTGTCTGAATATATATATATATATATATATATATATATATATATATATATATATATATATATAATTTTTCATAATAAAATCTCATATAATTTTTTCTCATTAACAAATAAATTTATGGTTGTGTGCGATCGGTGCGTGTGTGTACCTTTCATTTAATTTACTTTTTTTTTTATCTCGATATCATTAATTTACACATAGCTATCCGAAACATTGGCCTTTGACACTGACCCGTCTGTCCATTACAACGGAATTTCAATAATAAACACTCCTTTTGGTTACATACTATCATTTTAGAATAAAATGGCGAACATATTAAAGATTTCGAAAGGAAAAAACAAACATCGACACACGCAGACAGAGGAAATAACTGACGTTGGACAAAATAAAAAGGTGATTGAAGAATTCTTTGATTCTTTGGGACATCATCTGTAACTTTAATTTGGTCGTAATGGCTATTCCCTTCAGTTGTAAGCAGACGATAATATAAAATGTCGGCGAATCTAAAATTAATATTAGACTTCGCACATTTTTTACTTTTAGGAAAAATATTTTCATTAAATTATTGAAAAGGATTTTGTTTAATGTTTTGGATCTATTTGACCTCGTCATTAAAAAAATACATTTAATATTTCGTTTTTTTTTGTTTTTGTTTTTCTTAATCGAGAGAAGTGTAATTCTTTTATATTTGACTGATATATGCTCGATTAATGTAAAAAAAAAACACGCGTAATTAAGTCACTTCAAATGATTTTGCTTCCTGTTGAAGTCTCGTCACACTGGCTATGAAAAGGAAGATCGATTTTATCGAAAAATTAATTGATGGCAACAGAAACCGAGGACATATAACCTCGAACCGCCTGATGCTCGCACTCAATTTATACTCTCTTAGAAAAATAAGAAATTCTTATTTTCAAATGACGCTGAAAACAACGGTACACGTTCGATTACCGATGTTAAGCAGTATGCAGACGGGATACTATGAGTGATCATCTACTATTTGAAATATATTTCGGCTTTAAAGAGCCGACAAAGGGTTGATAAACCGTAAAAAATATAGAAATGTCATAAGAAAACGAAAGCTTATAACGAAGAACAGGGATTTTGCAAGAGTACAAACCTATTTTAGCAATTGTTGCAAAAAGGAATTGTCTGTCGCCAGAGTTCTAATAGAGATGTTCCTTTCGACAGATGGAAAGTCACCATTGGAACCATGACTTTCAAGGTGAGGCACACACATAAAGACAGAGAAAACACACACACACACACACACACACACACACACACACACACACACACACACATATATATATATGTACATCGTTCTTGTACTTGTTCTTATGTACATCGTCTTTGTCATGTTATATTGATAATATTATAATTTATGAATATGTCCTGAAGATGGTTTATTAGACCGAAACGTCCGACGTTGACATATTAACATTAAAACAGCATAATTGTATATAAGGATTTTTGTTTGTTTTTTCCGTATATATTTTTCTTCATATATATATATATATATATATATATATATATATATGCGTGTGCGTGTGAGTGTGTGTGTGCATAAAGATAAAGTAAAACTTGACAAAACAGCAGTCAATTTCTGAAACCTCCTGACGAGTGAACCGAACGATTACAAGATGTTTCGTCTGCGAAATACTGGAGTCGATGTGCTGAATATAATATCAATTAGCTAAGTGATAAATATTATTTCTATTAATAACACACGCACGCCCGCGCGCCCGCGCACACACACACATATATATAAATCTTACTTATTATAAAACACAGATTGTGTGTGTGTGTGTCTGTACGTTTATATATTGGATCGGATTTCCTACATTTTTCAACCGATTTCAACAAAACTTCACAGTACTGCGTAAAATTACCTAGCGGTGGTTCTAACAGCGCCAAAAATTAGAAAAACACAATTGTTTTTGCACGAAATCAATTTGAAAACACGATAAAACACGATTCTGTCGCCAGAATGAAAGGGGGACAACTCATATCGAGTTATACTTATAAAACCCAGGTTGTTTGTGTGTGTGCGTGTGTGTGTGCGTGTGTGTGTGTGTGTGTGTGTTCGTTTATATATGGGATCGGATATCCTACATTTTTCAACCGATTTCAACAAAACTTCACTTTTTTTTGGCAGGTAGTGTTTCTTAATGTCTTGCACACTTTTTTCTTTATTTTTACATTCAGAATTCTTTAAAAATTCCATTTACAAGGCAATTGTTTATAATAAAATTCTATTCAATCGGTAGAGACTCATAACGACTGAAAACAATGTTTTTGTTTGAGTTTGGGTTTGACCAATTCGTAAAAAACAAAAACAAAAAAAAAACAAAAAACTAATTAAGACATGCGTGTCCGTCAACCTTAAACAATAATCTTTGTCAATTTTATTTTTCAGTCTTTTTGATGGTCGATACTTGATCTATCTCTTACTGTAACATCCCCGGGCAACGCCGGGCTCTACTGCTAGTATATATATATACATATTTGTTTCAAACTGATTCACATGGCGTATTTCGGCTGCCGAGCATCCTTTGAAGGCAAGCAGTCGAGCACCCTTTGAGGCCAAACAGGTTGATAACTCAGCATAATAGGCAAGACTAATGGAGAAGAGCAACAGGTGTGGAGTTGGGTGAAAGAGCGCAGAAATATCTATCAATCAGAATGATTAGCAACTTTGATTTTTATAAAATGCAGACAAACAAGCAACAGCTGTTAGCATTTTATCGATTTTCTTGCATATTTTTATATCTGATGCTTTTATTTTATATATATATATATATATATATATATATATATATATATATATATATATATATATATATATATATATATATCTCTATCATTGTATATCAAACTTTTTAAATTTATTTCTGTGAACATGATTATTACTGTCTGTTTGACATTCTTAATTTGTATTCTTTCTTTTTTTCTTTCTTTCTTAAGTCTTTCTTCTATTCTTTATTTCTTTTCTTTTAATTTCGTTATCCTCATGCATTTCATTCATTCTTTCTTTCTTTCATAACTTCATTCGTTCTTTTAGTTTTTTTCCTCTTACGTCTTTATTATTTCTTTTTCAATTTTCTTAACCATACGCCTTTCTTTCTTTCTTTCTTTCTTTCTTTCTTTCTTTCATTCTTTCTTTCTCGGTCTTTTCTTTCTTTCTTTCTTTCTTTCTTTCTTTCTTTCTTTCTTGGTCTTTTCTTTCTTTCTTTCTTTCTTTCTTTCTTTCTTTAGGCTTTTTCGTTCTTTCTTTCTTTTATCCGTTTTATCTTTTTGCTATTCTTTAACCTTTTCTTTTTAGACTTTTTCTTTCTTTTTTCATCTCTTCTTCATATTCTTACGCTTTTCTTTCTTAAGATAGTCTTTCTTTCTTGAAACGCGCATTTTTTATTTCTGTAATGTTTTTGTTATCCTTACATATTTTTCTTTCAATCTTTGACTGTTTGTTTGCTTGTTTGTTTTCTTTTAACCTAATTCTTTCACTCTTCCTTCCTTCCTTCCTTCCTTCCTTTCACTCTTCCTTCCTTCCTTCCTTCCTTCCTTCCTTCCTTCCTTTCACTCTTCCTTCCTTCTTCCTTCCTTCCTTCCTTCCTTTCACTCTTCCTTCCTTCCTTCCTTCCTTTCACTCCTCCTCCCTTCTTTCCTTCCTTCCTTTCTTCCTTCCTTTCACTCTTCCTTCCTTCCTTCCTTCCTTCCTTCCTTCCTTTCACTCTTCCTTCCTTCCTTCCTTCCTTCCTTTCACTCTTCCTTCCTTCCTTCCTTCCTTCCTTCCTTCCTTCCTTTCACTTCCTTCCTTCCCTTCCTTCTTTCTTCCTTCCTTTCACTCTTCCTTCCTTCCTTCCTTCCTTCCTTTTCCTTTCCTTCCTTCCTTCCTTCCTTTCACTCTTCCTTCCTTCCTTCCTTTCACTCTTCCTTCCTTCCTTTTCACTCTTCCTTCCTTCCTTCCTTCCTTTCCTTTCCTTTCCCTTCCTTCCTTCCTTCCTTCCTTCCTTTCTTCCTTCCTTTCCTCTTCCTTCCTTCCTTCCTTCCTTTCACTCTTCCTTCCTTCCTTCCTTCCTTCCTTCCTTTCACTTTCCTTCCTTCCTTCCTTCCTTTCCTTTCCTTCCTTCTTTCTTCCTTCCTTCCTTCCTTCCTTTCCTCTTCCTTCCTTCCTTCCTTCCTTCCTTTCCTCTTCCTTCCTTCCCTTCCTTCCTTCCTTCCTCTTTCCTCTTCCTTCCTTCTTTCCTTCCTTCCTTTCTTCCTTCCTTTCACTCTTCCTTCCTTCCCTTTCTTCCTTCCTTCCTTTCACTCTTCCTTCCTTCCTTCCTTCCTTCCTTCCTTCCTTTCCCTTCCTTCCTTCCTTCCTTCCTTTCCTTCTTCCTTCCTTCCTTCCTTCCTTCCTTCCTCTTCCTTCCTTCCTTCCTTCCTTTCCTCTTCCTTCCTTCCTTCCTTTCACTCTTCCTTCCTTCCTTCCTTCCTTTCCTTCTTCCTTCCTTCCTTCCTTCCTTCCTTCCTTTCCTCTTCCTTCCTTACTTTCCCTCTTCCTTCATTCCTTTCACTCTTCCTTCCTTCCTTCCTTCCTTTCTTCCTTCCTTCACTCTTCCTTCCCTTCCTTTCCTCTTCCTTCCTTCCTTCCTTCCTTCCTTTCCTCTTCCTTCCTTCCTTCCTTCCTTCCTTCCTTCACTCTTCCTTCCTTCCTTCCTTCCTTCCTTTCACTCTTCCTTCCTTCTTCCTTCCTTCCTTCCTTTCCTTTCCTTCCTTCCTTCCTTCCTTCCTTTCCCTTCCTTCCTTCCTTCCTTCCTTCCTTCCTTCCTTTCACTCTTCCTTCCTTTCTTCCCTTCCTTCCTTTCCTTTCCTTCCTTCCCTTCCTTCCTTCCTTCCTTCCTTCCTTTCACTCTTCCTTCCTTCCTTCCTTCCTTCCTTCCTTCCTTTCACTCTTCCTTCCTTCCTTCCTTCCTTTCTTCCTTCCTTTCCTCTTCCTTCCTTCCTTCCTTTCCTCCCATTCCTTCCTTCCTTTCCTTCTTTCCTTCCTCCCTTCCTTCCTTCCTTCCTTCCTTTCCTCTTCCTTTCTTCTTCCTTCCTTCCTTCATTCCTTTCACTCTTCCTTCCTTCCTTCCTTCCTTCCTTTCTTCCCTTCCTTTCCTCTTCCTTCCTTCCTTCCTTCCTTCCTTCCTTCCTTTCCTTCTTCCTTCCTTCCTTCCTTTCCTTTCCTTCCTTCCTTCCTTCCCTTCCTTTCCTTCCTTCCTTCCCTTCCTTCCTTCCTTCCCTTCCTTCCTTTCACTCCTTCCTTCCTTCCTTCCTTCCTTCCTTCCTTCCTTCCTTCCTTCCTTCCTTTCCTTCCTTCCTTCCTTCTTCCCTTCCTTCCTTACACTCTTCCTTCCTTCCTTCCTTTCACTCTTCCTTCCTTCCTTTCACTCTTCCTTCCTTCCTTCCTTCCTTCCTTTCACTCTTCCTTCCTTCCTTCCTTCCTTCCTTCCTTCCTTCCTTTCTTCCTTCCTTTCACTCTTCCTTCCTTCCTTCCTTCCTTCCTTCCTTCCTTACACTCTTCCTTCCTTCCTTCCTTTCACTCTTCCTTCCTTCCTTCCTTCCTTTCACTCTTCCTTCCTTCCTTCCTTCCTTTTACTGTTTCTTCCTTCCTTTCTTTCTTTATTTCACTCTTTCTTTCTTTCTGCCACGTTTTCTTCTTTTCTTACATTCATTCATGGTTACAGTCTTTTTCCTTTTAAGTCTTTCGTTGTTTATTTCCTTTTCTCAGTTTTGTTATACGTACGTCTTTCTTTCTTTTTTTTCTTCCACTCTCGTTTTTTTCTTTACCTCATTGTTTTATTCTTCCCTTTTTCACTAATTCTTTCTTTCTTTCTATCTTTCTTTTTTCACTGTTTCTTTTTTCTTACATTCATTCATACTTTTAGTCTTTTTCCTTTTAAGTCTTTCAATGTTTATTTATTTTTTTTCAGTTTTGCTGTACGTACGTCCTTTTCCTTCATTTTTCTTTTTCTTTCTTTCTTTTTTTCTTTATTTATTTTTTTCTTTCTGTAGGATTCTCGGTCTTTATTTATTTTAGCATTTAAGGTTTTTTGTCTTTTTTAAATCGTTGCTTTTAAAACATTTTCTTTCATCCTTTAGGGTTTTTCTTGTTCCTTATTATTTTTAGGATTCTATTTCTTGGGGCTTTTTTTATTTGCTTCTTTTTTGTTTTCAATTTTTCTGTCGCTGCGTTTTTCATTCTTTCTTTCTTTTGGCTTTTCGTTTTTTTTTTTAAATTGTCTTTTCAGGTTGATTTTTTTTCTGTCTTTAATTTTTTCTTTTCTTTTAAGTTAGATTTTTTGTTTACTCTTTTCTTGATTTCGGCTTTTCATTCTTAAGAATTTCATTATTTTTTCTTCTTTTTTCAATATTTCTATCTTTCAACATTCTTTCTTTCTTTCAACATTTATTGTTTGTTTCTTTCTTTCTTTCATTCCTTCTTTCTTTACACCCCGTTTTCTTTTTCACTGATCATATCAGTTTTTCTTTTTCTTTGTTTCTTATTTTACATCAGTATTTCCCATTCCTCTTTCTCAGTCTTTCTTTCTTTCTTTCTTTCTTTCTTTCTTTCTTTCTTTCTTCATGTCCGTTTATCTCACTCTGCTTCGAGTTCGAGGCTCTGACTTAATTTGAACTATTTTGCTTTTACAGACAAAAACCTCTCCCATGGAATAGATTAATTCAAGAGTAGTGGCAGTGAATTTTGGTCAATCTCCTCACAGATGAAGAACATATATGAAGGAACAGAAATGTGGTTCTATAGAAAGATGCTAAGTATATGGACTTAAGATGTGAGAACGACGAAATTCTACAGACAATGGCAGCAAAAAGGACACATGCTTAAGATCAAGACGAGACAATTGAAATTTCTGGGGGTATTTATTGAGGAAAGGGGGCTTGGAAAATTTGACACTTATAGGACAGAATTTTCTTCTTTTTTTCAATATTTCTACCTTTCAACATTCTTTCTTTCTTTCAACATTGTTTGTTTGTTTGTTTTTTCTTTCTTTCCTTCTTTCTTTACACTACGTTTTGATTTATTTTTCTCTTTTTAACCATGAAAAGTAAAATACGTCAAACCTTTTTATTATATTATAAAATACTGTACCCTGCAGAAAAACTATGTAATATATATATATATATATATATATATATATATATATATATATATATATGAACCATGAAAAGTAAAATATATATATATATATATATATATATATATATATGAACCATAAAAATATATATATATATATATATATATATATATATATATATATATATATATATATGAACCATGTAAAGTAAAATAAGTCTAACCTTTTTTTGCTATTATAAAATTCTGTACCCTGCAGAAAATTATGAAATATATATATATATATATATATATATATATATATATATATATGAAGAAATATAGTTTTAAAGTGTGCTATATTTATGGGATAAAGTACTCAATATCAGAGATAGAGCGTGTGTAAATATAAGAGTGAACATAGAAGACAACACTTAGAGGCGATAAATATATATATATATATATATATATATATATATATATATATATATATGTGTGTGTGTGTGTGTGTGTGTGTGTGTGTGAAAAGTGTATATAAATATAAATAAATATATATATGTATAATTATTTATATATTATATGCGCGGTACTTATTAGAAAGCGCTTAATATCAGAGATAGAGCTAACATATTAAAATAAAACACCAACAACCACTTTTTACTTCAAGCTACCACCACTATAACTACATTCATGGTTTTATCATTCTCCCACCACCGTTACTAATCATTTCTACCAATTTACAGTTTCTACCAATTTACAACAACTATTAGCTATCATTGTCTCCAATCCCTTGAAACATTACTATCACATCATATCATATAGACCCGTTATTAAATTGAACTACCCTCTCACCCAGAACATTGAATATTAAACTAAACATCACCATATAAATTAACCAATAAGGATTACAAGTTTCTACCTGTTACCTATACACAGTCACCAAAAACAAACAAATAACCAGCTTTAAATATAACAAATAAACTCCCATTTTTTTTTCAAAAATTTAAAAATAAATATAAATAATAATAATTTTTACCTATCATAATTTTACACAAACCCCACCACACGCATATATATACATGCGAGAAAATATTTTTCAGCGGGAAAATACATATGACATGTATACATTAACGAGATATTTCCGCCACACTTCCAATGTTTAAATTTCAACATTTCAACATACAAATGCGTATGTATAGATATAACACCACCCGTATACATACATGTGTCATAGACGAAACTGCCCACATATGTTTATATATGTATGAGTCCCGACGGACGACCAAGTGTGTATATGTGTCTGCATACATCGATGTTTGCGTTAGTACGATGAATGACAAAACGACGAAATTTCCCCCACCACTTCCACAATAACACCAATACACGCAATCTACATAAACCCAATTTTTTTAAAACATTAATCAGTTTGTCTGACGATCGCTAATGCGTGAAACCCAAGGTCACAAACTCACATCTATCCAACCAAATATATATATATATATATATATATATATATATATATATATATATATATATATATATACAGACACACACACATTAATGAGCATACGTAATACTCAATGCACATTCCTCTCCAGTTTTGGGGACAGGAGTAGGGGTTTATCCCTTGTTTCCTGTTTAGAAATGAGGTTCCCGGTTCCTTCTAAAGCATGATGGCTTGTTTTGGGGAGAGATGGCAAAAGACAAAAATTATTAAGAGCTACAAAATACAGGTAATTATGAAAAGACATGATCGCTAACCTTCTAAAGGAACAAGGCACAATGAAGAAGAAGAAGCAGTAATAATCTCAAATGTCTAGGAACCATTTCATCGAATCCTGGACACCTTTTGTCCAGAACGAAAGCGAGTCTGATGAATTGCTTTTTTTTTTTCATTTGATACCTGGCTAGCGTCAAGATAATCTGTAGACGGTTTATCTTTTGTCGATCCTCAATTTAATTTTTTTTATGTGTTGTTTACTATGTCAACTCTTAAAATGAAGTTATTATCCTGTTATTCCTGAAGTAAAAAAAGAAAAAAGAAAAAAAAAACAAAAAAAAAAAAAAACGGAACTTTGTTTAAATAATATAACATTAACTTCGTTATTTTTTCCTCAAACCCTCAAAACAAAGGCAGCGTTCTGAACGGAGCTGTCTAATGTCGAGACATTTTATTATAGTATATTTGATACGATGTCCCTACTTAGAGACATACCCCACTCTGTGCAAAATGTTGCCGACCTGGTTTAATGTTTTCGATTTTTTAAATTACTTGGGAAAAGTGTGACCCGCCTTTCGTCCTGTTCACTTTCCTCCCCAGTTTTTTTTTAACGAGTAGGGGTTTATCCCTTGTTTCCTGTTTAGAACTGGGCTTCCGGTTCCGTCTAAAGCAGGAGTCCGCAACCCCCGAGCCCCGTACAGTCCGTGAAGGATTTTTGTCCGGCTCGTCAACTTAAACGTTGTAGGGAATTTGTATTTTTTGTTGATTGTTATGTTGTTATTCCTGTAGTAAAATAAGGAATTTTGTTTAAATAATATAAAATTAATTTCGTTGTTTTTTCTTTAAACCTCCAAACCAAAGCAGCCTTCTGGACGGAGCTGTCTGAGACAATTTATTATAGGACTATCTTATGTCTTAAAATGGAGGCAAGTCTCATAGGCATGGCTATTTCTCGTGCATGTAAACGGGAATTTAAAAGTTAAATGAGAATGCATCAGTGTTAAAGATTTTTTTTTTAAATGCGTTCTTTAGACATAAACATCTTTTTCAAATAGGCCAAGAAAGAAGAAAGTTAACGTTTAAAAAAAGATTTTTTCATAATTGCAGTAATACAGTGTATAAATATCAATATGTCGGCATGTCTTTAATTGGAACTGGGTCTAGTAATTTATGATCTGAGTTAGGAGTCATGTCGTCTTCTTTTCACTGTCTGTAAGTCAACTTGATATTATCTCATCCGTTTTTGGCTTCTAGGTTCTTGGTGATTGTCATCTGTCATTGGGTAAGCTAGTAGGGCATGTTGTTAAAACTCAATTCGATACAATCTGTATACATATATATATATATATATATATATATATATATATATATATATATATATATTATTGGCTAGAATTTTATTCTTTGTGACACACAAAACGTATCGCTTTGTGCCTTCAGCTGACCTTCAGATATAAGATAAAATCCCTCTGAATTTTACGCGTCTCCCAGCTGAATCACGCATGCTCACAATTGATAAAAATTAAATGCAGCTGAAAAATAAACTCAATAGAATAGGGTCAGATGGGAATGGTAATGCTTATTTTAATATTAATCATTGATTATAAGGAAACTTTCTGTATTATATAATATCAATTATGAACACGGCCACTCTATGCTGACCGTATTTACAAAATAAAAAAAACTTCGTATAACTCTAGATACGTACAGAGAAAAATGCATAAATTCAGTTACATAATGTCAGCCATGATAATGGCTAAAAGTATATCTGAAAGCGCTCGGACATTGAGAACATTCGGAAATTTTTAGAGAATTTATATCCAGAAAAGAAAAAAATGAGAAGAACACAAGAAAAATTACATAAAAACTTAATCCTAGTGTCGTGTCAGTCGTTTTTAACAAACGTTTTCGACTCGCAATTATTTTATCAGTTAATAGTTTAAGTGTAAATACTGTCAGAAAACAAATATCCGGCCTTTATATATATATATATATATATATATATATATATTTTCACTTACATGCTAATACACTTGGGATACAATATAATATATATAATACACTCTTCTTCTCTCCACCCTCAAATACCGGCAAATAGCAGGACAGACCGGGTTCTATAGCCTTGGATGGCAACTGGTCTAGGAGAAGGACAACTATGAATTCAAAACCTGTCGTTTGGGGACCTTGTGGCACTTAGTGCACCAGGTCTCTGTATTCGGCCCTTCAAAAAGTGTGAATGGTCCTGCACGAAACCTTCACCACTATAATCAAATCTTATGCGCTTGTGTCTGGGCTGTAGGTTCCTAGGAACTGGACTGTTTGACATCTCATACAACAACCACTATATATATATATATATATATATATATATATATATATATATATATATATATATATATATATATATATATATATATATATATATATATATATATATATAATAAAATAAAAAGTAACTAACACAGTCGACCGGTTTGGCCTCGAGAAACCGAGAGATTATATACTGCAATAAAAAATAAAACATATAATGTCATGTAATATTAATAAAGGCTGAATAAAATCTAAATTGAAACCACATATGGTTCCGCCATTGCGGAGAATCTTATAAAAAAAAACAAATTGTGTCGCTAAATTTAGCATTGACTCGTTTACCATCTTGTGTCGTGTTAGCTCTATATTGCAGAAAAAGGTGGGAAAAAATTAGGTTCGGTCCAGTCAGCCCTCTCTCTGTAAGCAGAGGGAGTGCCTGTTAGAATTTCAATTTAAATTGTATTTTCATCTTCATTAATATTACATATTGTTTTTTTATATTTTATTGCAATACATAATCCCTCGA